CGGCTGTGCCGGCACCCACATCCTCGCCGAGTTTGGCCGCTGACCAAAGTGCACCGAGAAGCCACAGGTTGACCACCGCTCCCAAAAATCTCTGCCCGGTCCCCCGAGCAGAAGTGCTTCAGGGCGCAGAGCCAACTTCACAGCAGACGTTGCCCAAAACGGCTTGTTTGGGGCCGAATGTTTTGTTAAGCAGAGCTTAAAAACAATAAAAGTGCCTTGTTACCCAAGGCCAACCTTACCTTTGCAAGCCACGTTGTTCTCCGGCTCGTAACCAGCCTTGCACGTACAGCGGCCGATGGGGACCATCCACTCCCCGTCCCCGTTGCAGTACAGTTTGATGGGCACGTCCACCTCCTCGGCGTTGGGGATGCAGGTGCCCCGGGCAGTCACTAGAGAGGTGCTCTCCGCTCCTGTCATCGTCTCTGGGAAGATGGCGAAGTTCTGCACCACGCTGGGGCACTTCTTGAAGAAGACCCTGACGGACAGCAGAGACATACAAGCCCCGTAGTCCTGGAAAGCCAGGTAAAAGCCATTGCGGGTCAGGGGCCCGAAACTTCTCACTTCTGTGTTCACCTTCATCAACCTGCCCCCAAAGTCCACCTGGGAGAAGCTCTCGTCAGCAGCAATGGTGTCCACTTTGAGGTAGGGTGCCTCCGTCCAGAAGGCGGACTTCTTGGTGGCAATGACGGAGTCTGTCTCGTAGTAGTAGAGGTTGAAGGTCTCTTTGCAGGAGCCGGGGACGTTGGGGAGGCTGCTGCAGTCCCGCACAGTGAAGCGCATCTCGGTGTAGATGCGGTGAGCTCCACGCCGGTTGATGAACGTGGTGAGGAGCCAGTTGTTCTGGTTGGGCTCGAAGACGTTGCACACCTGGTACGTACGGATGGTGTTGAGGTTTTCGTCGTAGCCACTGACTTCTTCCCACTGCAGAAAGGAGAAGGGAGAGGGGCCGTCAGAGGGTGACAGAGGGACCAGCAGCGGCCAGTGAGCCACGGAGGTGCCGCTCACCCTGCACAGGGCTGAAAGGAGGGTCCCAAAGCCCCAGAGGAGACCGGGAACACAGTCGTGCACACAAGACATGATGCACATGCAGAACCACCACCCGGGCCAGCACCAGAAGAAATCCTCACCCTCTTGCCCTCGCGTGCCTGCCCTCTCTCCCCATCGCTCCCAGCTGACGCTAAAACACCCTTTTCCACACCGGCAACTGCCTCAGCTACCCTGAGAGGACATAAAACCGTGAGGAAAGGTGGTCCAGGCGCCCGGAGGCGGGAGGGAAAGCAGCACACGCGGCTGCGGCTTCATTAAAACCCGAGCCAGCACGCGGGCTGGAGAGCGAGCCCGACCCCAGGCTCTCGGCACAATGGGATCGTTTCCCCCGGCAAAGAAAACTAACTAAATAAAACATTACCGCTGCGGAGAGAGAGAGAATATAGATTTGCAATTCGATTTATAGAAGGGCATTAATATAATCCAGGCTACAATTTCAATTAAGGGACAGCAGCAAACTGTGAATAGTCTATGATGGCATTAGAGTCCTACAGACAGATTTACAACCTCATAATCCATTCATTTTAACTAATCCATGTTTACAGTCTCCTCATAACAGCATTATTCATATGGCAATCTTTAAGCAGCACTCTGAATATCATGCATAATTTCCAGGAGCGATGCTATAGCAGCGCTCGGGCGCGTTTGTGCTTACGTGGGGGCACAACGGCGGCCGGGTGACACCAACCTGCCCCGTGGCGGCGTGTCTTCCCAAAGAGCCGATGCACCACAGCCCACCCTGCAACCTTACAGCTTCTACCCTCTTCCATTTTCCATGAAACAACCACGTCCCTCACCTCCTCCCCTCTTGTAAACCACAGCCCTGATGTAAAAAAAAATAATAAAAAAAATAAAAATAAAAAAAGCAGGGTTTTATTTTGTTTTCAAAGCTTGATCCTCTGCACGCTGCCAACAAGCACGGCAGAACGTTTGCTCCCGGGTCCACCTACTCGGCTCCGCTAAGCTTAAGCAAAGATCACAGCTCAAGGCTGCACATTGTTGTTAAGCGCTGTTTACCAGCTCAGCAATAAAACCTCACGCATCCAGCCGAGCGCTCTCCCTTCTCATCCCACGCCGTGGAAACATTGCAAAAACCCCTCTCCACCCCAGACAAGCCGTACGGATTCAACGCCCGTTCATTCCCAGGCATCTTTTCACACGAGAAAGCTGCAAGGTCCTCCCCGACCGAGGGGGTTGGCATTGTTTCCCGTTCCCACCTGGGCTTTGCATTACAGCCCCGGCACCCAATTAAAGCCAGACAACGAGCTCTCTTCCAGCGCTCGCCCACCGGCGTAACGCCGGCCCCGTTGCTCCGCTGCGGGAATCCTCCTCTTCACCCCACCCGCCGGCTCCGGCACCCCGTCCGGCTGCACAGGAGGGGACCTGACCGGATCCGAACGCTTCCTTGGGCATCCTGTGAGTTGAGCGTTCCTGCCACCGGGCACTGAAGAGCAGCAGGTCCCTGGGGCTGACAGTCCTGTGGTGCCAGCGGCTGCTGCCATCGATGCTCTAACAGCAACAAATGCATCATTTTGACAAGATCCCACTAAATAATTCACAGGGAGCTGGGGGATTAAGACAATGTTCTTCTCCAGCTCCGCTGAGATTTCAAGCACGCCCATCGGGAGAGCAGAAGGAGAGCCCGCGTCCCACCGGAGCCAGTCCCCAGGGACCACAGCCCCTGCTGCCCAGCTGGCATCCGTGCCCCGGCATTAATGTCAACAGCCCCCCCGAGCCCCGGGATGCATCTGCAGGATCAGGTGAAGAGTCACCCTCAGAGCATCCTGAGTGGACGCCATGGGAGGATGCCGCCACCCAAAGGGACCCAACGCCTGTAGGGAGTCCATGCTGATGGCAACCCCAGGGAGTCAGGAGAGGTGGCTCATCAAATCCCGTTACCTCCAGCCCCAGGAAAGGCAAGAGGAGCTCAGGAGAAGGAGCTGACACCCCAGCAGCAGCCAGGAGCCCTCTCCCATCCTCCTGTCTCCTCCCTCCTGCCCCAGGGAGCGGGAAGGTCCCAGTTTCACTCTGAGGGTGGTGAGCCCCTGGGGCAGGTTGCCCCGAGAAGCTGGGGCTGCCCCATCCCTGGAGGTGTTCAAGGCCAGGTTGGATGGGGCTTGGAGCAACCTGGGCTGGTGGGAGGTGTCCCTGCCCAGGGCAGGGGGGTGGAACAAGATGGTCTTTAAGGTCCCTTCCAACCCAAACCATTCTATGATTTATTGACGGCTGCTGCTCTTCTCCCTCTCATTTCTTTGCTTCCCTCTCTTCTTTGCTTGTTCCTACAACGCTATGGTTTGCCGCTAAGCCGCAAAGCAAGGCTGCGAGCACACTCGCGTTTTTTGGATGGAGGAAGGCAGGGCAGAGGGGAAGCTTTTTGTTCCTTACCCCGACTTTCAGTAGTTTGGGCTGAAAAAGAAATACCACAACCCTAGAGTGGCTGCTTTTGGGAACTGAAGGTTAAAACCAAGAAAAGACCAACTAAATTTAGGGTCTTCGCCAACTCCAACACAAGCAGAAAGCCCCACGTGTACCTTAGCATCTCCACACCAGGCTCCTTGGATGGGTGACGGTCTGCAAACCCTCCCTGGCACCTGCACTCCGGGCAAGCCTCACCCAAATATTGGCCATTACCACCAGACGGACCAAGCAGCAGCACAAATCTCCTCTCAAATATCTGTTAGGAACTATTAAACGGGATAAACCCTAGAATCTAGTGCTGTAATCGGGCACCTCATGAAGACTACTGCACATCTGGAGAACGAGGAAGACTTATTTTAACTGGTGTCCAACCTACTCCAAAACATGCCTCGGCTGGGACATGACACCCACAGGGGGGTTCACTCCAGGAGTCCCAAATACACCTTAAGATGCTCCATATCCACCCAGCAAAGTGGCTGGAGCTCCTGAAAAAAGCCCAGGCCACGAGCAAGGGCTCTCCAACGCTCACTACGGACCGATCCCACGTCTTTTAAATAAAGGACTTGGTATTTTAAAATACTTTGTGCAAGATGTAATATACGCTCGTGCAAAGGAGAAGACTCACCAATGGCTCTCAGAGGAGCAAGAGACAGAGTGTTAATGCCGGACCCCCACGCAGACGGGCTCGGGGCTCCCTGAGATGATGCGAGGCAGGGCCAGAGATTGGGAGCTGGGATGTGCGCGGAGGGACGCAGGGATGCACGCGGAGGGACGCAGGCTTGGGAGAGCTTTCGCTGTGCGGCTCCGCAGAGGGCGAGACCGCCGTGCCTCACGACACGAGCTCCTCGCCTGCCTCACGCAGGCTTTCAGCGATAGCAGCTGCAGGCAGCTATTTATATCCCATCTCCATCACCTGCACGCAGCCCCCCCCACCCCATCCCCTGCACTTTGCCAGCACTTTATTTGGGTCCAGATTTTTCCCAAAGCAATTCAAGGGCCTGCGATGCGCCTGGGGAGGATTTCGTGCCCGCTGCGTGTGCAGTTCAGCTTTGGCAACAACGTGCAACCTCATTTCTTTCAAAGCCCTGGCCAAACCTGTCACACCTTACCCAAAAACACGGGCTGACATCCTTCCCCCTTTGGTACCACATCCTGGAGGCCGCAGGAACGGATCCCGCTGCCGTACTGGTGCCTGTGTGAGACCGGCCACCCGTCCCACCGCGATGCCCATCCATCAGCTCACATCCCCCTCCCACCACCGCTCCTCTCCCCCCTCCCCATGTCTCACTTTCTCTGCCAGGGGAACGTGAGTCAGGTTATTTTATGCTTCCATTCCTCAAAGGCTCGTATTATGTAAAAAAGATGTTTTAAGTGCCTCAGGGTGTTTTGTTCCTCATTACTTCATAAAAGTGACATTAATAGCCAGGGAAGAGCACTGCCGAGTGCAATTACGGATGATGTTCCAGGTATGAAAGCTGTTTTGAGCCTGCTAATGTTTCTTAATTACAAGCCTTTTGGCACAGGGAGAGGAAAAGCACGAGCTGGGGGATGGAGAGCGGTGATGGGGTCGGACCCTTCACCTGCGAGGAGGGCAGGAGAGAGTGTGGGGATGCTCCATCTTCCCTGAGACCCCGGGATGGCTTCGGGAAGGGATGCTCAGCCCTGGAGCTCGGCACAGCGATGCCCTGGCAGCCTGATGGGGCACGGCTGCTCCCACGGCGACTTCCCCGGCTCCCCACCAGCGTTTTAAGATAAATAGCGTGAACCCCATGAGATCGCATAAGGATCAACTGGTCAAGCGGCACTTACCCCTGAAGGAGGGTTGGCGGTCCAGCCCAGCTCGGCCGTCGCCGTCCGCGTATCCATCAAGGTTTCTGAGGAAACAGAAGAAAAGGAAAGCAAACTAGTTACTCCCGAAGTTTCCGATGATGTTATGAGCACAGAGCCGCAGGAAAACGTTCGGTCGCTTTCACGGAGTGTGCATCTGACCCTGGGAGCTGCTCAGAAACAAAGCAGCAGTTGCCTTAACACATCTAATGAACTAAGGGCAGCTTCACTCCGGAGCAAACAGTGCAGGATGAGACTGTTAGCAAAAAGTCACGGCCTGATCCCAAACCATGCTGCTCTCTCTGACCCTCCCAAGCCTAGAAAAGGAAAATAGCGTTAGCAAGGGGGAAAAAAATAAAAAAATAAAAATTAAGAAGGATGCTGCATTTCATGGAGTCGTTACATGCACGTACAAAACCCTGTCTAAACCCGAGCAGAGAGTTTGCGTTAACGCCCTGGAAGCAGCAAGAGGCTGGGGGAAAGTCTCCCACGGCCGGCAGAGCCCACCCTCTCCCCCAGTGCCTCTGTACGGGCTTTTCGGCGGGTCCCATCCCACCCGCTCGCAGCTACTCGCTTCGCTCCGCGACATTAGACATCCCATTTTATGCACTACATCTGTCTGGTGCCGTGAGTTGTCATCGCACACAGTTATTATTTGTCAGAGCGATTTCAAACACGCGAATAAAAAAATCACATTGTTGGAGCGGCACTCCTCTGCTGGGGGTCTTTTGATGGATGATTTGGTGGGAAATATTTAAAAAGCTGTAATACAGCTGACATTTCCCTACTTTTATTCTTTTTAAAGAAAACAAAAACCCAACAAGAATAATAGCGGGAGCAACAACATATAGAAACAGATGGGGGAAAAATCCTCCAGGTTTTATTTATTTGTTTGCAGCAAGCAGACATGCAGATTAATTTCCTCGATTCCTGCGTCTCGACCAAATGGGAGGAGGAGATGCGTCGCCAGCGGCTGGCGGAGCCGAGCATCCCCCGTGGTCCCGGCTACCCACAGCGGCTTTGCAGCGCCAGGAAAAGGGGTGCAACCAGAGAAATAAAGGTCAGGAAATAAAACCCAGCCCAGGAATACGAACTGCCGCCGGACTGCTGCTTTTAATCTCTCGGCGCCCGCTCCAGCAATCGCAAGAGGGAAACAAGACTCCTATTAATCTTCCCACCCCTCCCTTTGCCGCCTGCTCCGGGATGGGAAGCCGGAGGAGCGTGACCGGGAACTCCCCACCCTGTCACCGGTGATAAACTTTCCCCGCTCCCAAAATCCCTGCCGGAGCTGCCGACCCAGCCTGGGCTCCTGGAGAGGCAGGCAACCCCCCAAAAGATGGAACGAAAAGGCGCTTGGGGACCTCAAAAAGCTTCTGCGCCCCTCATGGGTCCTGGGATGCCGCTGTGGCACTGCCGGGGGGGCTTCAAAGCCCGCAGCCCCCGTGTTTTGCAGGGTGCTTCGCACTGTGCCAACCCCCTCCCGCTCATGGTGCCCTCAGAGAGAAGATATTTCACCCCCCGTACCTGCAAGGAACAGAAAAGCGTGGTGGCCTTCCCACCGCACGTCTCCCTCTGCAGCTTCAGCCCCTTTCTGTTTGGGGGGAAGGCGGCTAAAAACAACACATCCCACCGGCAACTCCTCCCCGGCCCCAAAACGGGGGTGGGGGTCCTGCTCCAGACCTCCAGCGAGTTTCTTCTCCCACTGCCCGTCCGCCTTCCCGCTGCCACCCAGCTCTCCTTCCCTTGCCAACAGCCCCAGGTCTCATTAAGCGGTCATTAATCCTCGCCATGGCCCTTCAAACAAGCGGGAATGTGCCCCTGCATCAATCCATGCGAAGGTGGAAGGGAAAGGCCGCACCAACATCTCCCAGTCCCTCCTCCTGGCGGGGCGACGTGGGGAGGGATGCTCCCGAAGCCCCCCCTAAAACACTCGGTGTTTCTCCCTGCCGCTAAACAGGGTGTCCTTGTGCCACACTGGGGAAACTGAGGCAGCGGAGCTCAGGCTCGACCCGGCTCACCCACCCTCCACAAAAAAAATAAAGACACGCTCAATTAGAGGAAAGACCCTTCTGGTATGGGTTTATTCAGAGAGGTTTTTCACTCCATCATCATCTCCCTGCCTGTTCCGCACACTTACAGCTTCCTTCCCCCGGCAGATTTTGTTGCTGGTTGATTTATATTTTTTTTTTGGTATTTTTTCAAGTGGGGCAATGACAGAGGAATGTTGTTTTGATAAAGTACAGCCGCGGTGTGAGACAGCAGCACGCGAGGACCGGCTTAGCTCCCAGGCGGCATCCACCAGGATCTCTCCCAGCGGCTCGGGGGTCCCCCCCACCTCCCCAAATCTCCTTCCCCTTCCCTCCTGTTCTGTTTCTCCCCAAAGGCTCCGTGCTCCGGTAAACCAAGCGGGAAGGCACAGCACCAACGCCGGCACGGCACGCAGCAGCGTGCTTCAAAATAACTAAGTAAACGGAGAAATAAGTGAATAAATTGGAAAGAACGGCAGAGCAGCTTTGGCTTTGGAGGTTCTCCCCGAGTCATAAGGGGACCGTGTGGCCTGTGGCCAGGGAGGCCGTGCTCACAAAGTTTTCAGCGCAGATGCATAACTTGCACTTCAACAACGCCAAATGTTTTGAAAGGAGTTCACAAAGCAAAGGAAGAAGAGGGCTGAGAGCCACCGCCAAACGCCTGACCACCTCCTGCCCCAAGGACGGGGCCATACACAAGAATAGCCATAACCTGGCAAAACAGCTTGGTTTGTTTGGCGGCATTTCTTTTCAAATAAAATAAAATACAATGGTTAAATCCCCCC